CCCCACAAAATAAACCTCCCTTTTAACTGCGTGGAGTGGCTTTAATATTTCAACCAATAGGCTAGAAATGGAGAGTTGATGGCAAGTCTCAGCCAAGGCACTCAGCTCAAATACATACCACTCTGGTAGTAATAATAGAGCTAGAACTAGAGGAAAGAGGCGAGAAACATGGGCACATGTGTTTGATGAGGTCAATCCAAACCCTCAAGAGGATGTCAGGGTGTAAGAATGTCACAACACATGCCTATTCAGCTAATGTAAGTGAAAAAGAAGAGCTAGAGTGGTCTGTTCTCTCTCTACTGATTAAAAACATTCTGTTCCTCACTAGTATTACACCCTCATATATCTATCTATATACAAACCTACATATGCATATATTTATACACATACTAGGAAAAGACCTTCAGTAAATAACTACTGTGGCATCAGAAAATATAATACTACGTGATTGGGCATAGCAAGAACTAAGAGGATGTATATAGACACACACACACACACACACACACACACACACAGAGACAGACAGACAAACAGACAGACACAGTGACAGAGAGAATGCTTTTCTGAACACTACCCTCATTTTTTCCCTTTATTTACCGTTCCCCAAGTAACTACCACCACTAATATATTGTGTGTATTTATGTTAACATCAATACTATAGCAGTAAACAGAATGTCTCAGTCAGTGCTCTATTGATGTGAAGAGATACCATGACCACAGCAACTTTTATAAAAGGAAACATTTAATTGGGGCTGGCTTACAGTTTCTGAGACTTAGTCCATTGTCATCAGGGAGCATGGCAGGCAAGCAAACAGACGTGATGCTGGGGAAGTAGCTGAAAGCTACATCCCGGTGGAGAGTGGGGAGGGATGGGGTCCTTCTTATTCAAACCACCACACAAAAAATTATAAACCTTCTATTTCTTTTTCTTCAAAATGTTTTTATAAGTTTTTCTAAGTTAGGATATCCAGTTTTCTAAAATCATGCATTTAAAGAGTACTATTTTGTGACACACTATACAAAAGAAATCATGCCTCAATGAGCTTGAAATTTCAAGTGGTTCCTTATGTAGCTTGTAAGAGATCTCCCAGAATTTAAATCTTAATAATGGTGAAAGAAGTAGTTCCTTGTTTTTCTGATGGTCAAATATACTGTGTATTCTCTGCAGTTGATTTTTCCTGTGCTTCTTGTATAAACAGTTGATGGCACAAGGTTTTACCACTCAGTCTAGAATACCTCAGCATAGTGGTTTGACCACTGAATTAGGAAGTCTTTACATAATATTCTTGTTTTATTTTGTTTGATACTGGATAGATTTCTTAGCTTAGTGCATTTATTTTTTGGGATATTCTCATTTAGAAATTTAACCACTAGGAAAATAACTTAGGACTGTTTACCTTAAAAATAAGATGACATTTAGTAATACCTTTAAAAAAAATTCCTATTAAGTTAATGATGAGAGTTCAGAGGCAAGGAGTCAACTGTCTTTGGCTACTGTGGATAGTATATTCAACGACAGAAGAGAATGTGATGTACGATTATAGGGAAAAGTATCTTGACAGCAACTCTCCATTCAATATCAAATGTAGAACTTAAACCTTGATTCTAGGCTTCCTCTTCTTCCTAACAGCAAGAAATAAATTTCTGGGGGTTCAGAAGCCACTCAAATTATGGCACTTCTGTGATAGCAGCCTGAGTAGAATAAGACATTTAACAAACAGTTAATGCTGAACCAGGGAATACACTAAATGATTAAGCATAGCAATAATTTCAGAAGACAAGAAAAATTCCCATAAAGAGCATTTGAGAAGGATGTTGGAGAAAGGTTAAAGTTTCCACAGGAAAAGCATGGTGATAGGAGAGGTTGAAGTACTAAAAATGGCAAGTCTTAGAGGAAAAGTTATAAAGTATTTGATGAGATTATACATCTTAATGTTGTATGGTCCCACTGTTGAACAGCCTAAACTATATCTCCATTACATAGTGCAGTCTAAACATTCTTAATAACTGAGTTGCATGACTGAACAGATGTTAATTCAGCATGCATTAGAATCATTTGTAGGGTTGTTAAAATACACTACAGGGACCCTATCATCAGAATTTGAGATTCTTTAGGTTTGAGTTAGGGGTATGTGAAAAGCATAGAAATATCTTTACTTCCCATCTTTATGCCTGAGATTCATATAATAAACAAATTAGTCAGAATACTGCAGACACTGCTGTGGGATATATGAGAAGCTGGACGTCCACTGAAGCTTTAGCAAGTGGTTGCTGTCATGATGGCCCTGTGGGAGGAGGGGAGCCGGTTACCAACTGAGGTTGGCAGTTCAAGTGGGATGTTGAACTGAGCAGGAGGAGGCATCAGGAGCAGTAAGCAGGCAATGGATAAGGAAACTCATTCTATCCATTCAGTTACTTGGACAAATAAGTGCCTGATACCAGTGTTTGAGAGACAGACTGGATCCTGATAGAAAAATGCTGCTAAGAAATTGCCTTGACTACCCTCGACCAATTTATCTCCATCATTTACATGGTAGGCAATATCATTTCCATACCCTACTGTGATGATGTGTATGACAGTCTGATGAGTCATTCGAGCACTTTCAAGACTCAAGACTGTTCAAGTCAGAAGTTTCTTCAGAGTTTGGTCTATCTCACTGGGAATCTCACCAGTTTGGCACTGGGTATTTACAAGTGCCAAGTCCATGAGATTGCTACCTACACACATCTCAGATTTGCTGGTCTTTATTGAGTGCCTTGAGAAAAGGGATTTCAATAGTGGAGGATTACTTTTGTGAATATGAGAAAGCATCACCTAACGCACAAGAATATGGGTCTCTTTGCATCTTGTTTAAGCTCAGTGGCTCTTAAGTATATTCACTCTAAAAACAGTCACTCATGTTGAACAGCACCCAAATGTTCCCATTTCTTCATGGTAAGGAGACAGACCCTAGGTCAATATACATATTACCACAAACAAACTACAGCACAACTCTTGAGTGAAAATAATGAAGAAAACTTCCAGTACACAGCAAAACAACAAATAAAACCAGACTATCTCTAATCCAAAGAATAGTAGCTGCTAGCCTTGGTGCAGTGGGGAGGGGCTTGGACCTGCCTAGGCTCAGTGTGCCAGGCTCTGCTCCCCATGGGAGACCTTGATTTGGGGGATGTGGGGTAGCTAGGGAGGGAGGGCTGGAGGGTGGGAGGAGGGAGGAGGGAGGAGGGAGGAGGGGGGAATCTGTGGGTGGTAATGTAGAGTGAGTAGAAAATTTCGTAATAAAGAAAAAGGAAAAAAATAATAGTAGCTGCTAAATCAAGGACCACAGTAGTATCTCTTCTCAATAAATTAAATGGTCAAAATCAAAGCCTTTATAAAGTTGTACAAGTTCCTCATGAGTAAACTTGATTTCTTTTGCATTTCACTTCTATTTAGCATGAACTGAAACAAAAATTCTATTACAGACACTTTTGGAAGATGTGAGAAATTAATGCTGGGTTAAAATTATAGATGATGAAAACCCAGAAAAAAATAGCATGTATATGACAGACAAATAAACAAATCAACAAATCAACAAAAAAGCATAAACATTCATTTAATACCATTTACATGGCAGAAAAATGTAACAAATTGAGACTCAAAGCAATAATGGAAACCTCTAATTTTTTTATGATACATGACTATAATAAAGGGGTATAATATAATGGTTATAAACTGCGACAACTTTAGAAATTCATATGTAGCTTCTTGTCCATGTCCCTGCATCTCTAGAGACAGGGATATTTCTTTATTCTAGGTATAGAGAGAGCCCTCTGGGCTGAGTGTCCCAGGACCTAGGGCCAGAGACGATTAGATTGATTTAGATTTTGTTGTTTATTCAAATCCTAAGGTGGTATGTTCTGAATCCATCAGAGGGTAAACTTCTATTTAAGTCGTGGGGTACAGAAGACCACTTCTGAGTTTTAAAAACACACCAATCCCTGGGCTTGCCCTAAGCTCAGAACTTGAAATCCCATCAATTCCCATGGTGGAAATCTTCATCCTGGAAAACTCCATTTGCAAAGAAACCTGTCTCCTACTCAGTTTCCTGCTGCTTCTCACTCAAGCAGAGGCAGCCACCCTCTTCTGTTTTTCCCAATAAATCTCTTGTGTGAGGTTTGTTGTGTGGTATGAGTTTGAGGTATTCCTTGATGCTTGACTGACAGGATACCTTTCTCCTCACAGCTGTAACACTTATTTTAGGGAAATCTTTCCCCTCAGAGCTGTAACACGTAAGTTGTACGAGTTTTTTAGTGCTGACACTGTTGCAATCTGAGTTCCATTTTGAGGAAGTCTTAGCATAGTGGTTCTCAACCAGTGGGTCATGACCCCTTCGGCAAACCTCTATCTCCAAAAATATTTACACTTCGATTCATGATAGTAGCAAAACTACAGTTATGAAGTGACAATGAAAATAATTATGTGGTTGGGGGTCACCACAACATGAGGAACTATATTAAAGGGTCACAATATCAGGAAAGTTGAGAACCACCATTTTTGTGTAACCTAATCTAACCACAGTTGTAGCATTCTTGTTTTCTCTAAGCATCCAGAATATTGTGACAAATTCTATCAAACTATAAATCTTTAAAAATCCAATCTACAGAAAGGGCAAAAAGGATACAAAAGAGGAATATCTTATTTATCTTTGCACAATCTTTGGCATATTACAGTGATATCTTAAAAGTGGCGTGCACCTTTAATCCCAGCACTCGGGAGGCAGAGGTAGGCGGATCGCTGTGAGTTCGAGGCCAGCCTGGGCTACCAAGTGAGTTCCAGGAAAGGCGCAAAGCTACACAGAGAAACCCTGTCTCGAAAAACAAAACAAAACAAAAAAAAAAAAAAAAAAAATAAGGTCAACAGTGACTCATCGTAATACCAAATTATTGTATGGTAAATATTAGCAAGTTTCTTAAAACAACACTTAGTAAAAGGGAATGAGTTAAAAAAAATTCCTAAGTTAGCAGAGAAAAAGTTCACCAAGTCCATCTTCAGTCTCTTATGTATTTGAGAGTGCACGGCATCAGAACTGATTTAGGGTTAAATTGAATCTCAACTGACATGCAGGTCCTTCAAATACATATATCTGATTAAACACAATATGCCACTCCCTACATCCAGCACACAATATACATGATGAATGAACACAAGAACAGGAGAGACTCAGGTTCAGGGTAAAGGGTGTATGCTATGTGAGCACTGTAGAAGCTTTCTCGGGGGAGGAGAGTCTGCCCTGGAGTTGCAGCAGTCTTCCATAAAATCAACAAGAGGGTTTTCTCCTGTTTTGTTTTTCTTACAGTCAAGGCCAGAATAATTCGCATGAGTCAGACCGTGGCCTTGAGAGTGAGCTTCCATCCCCTCCGTCTTTGGACTAGCTGACCCAGCTGAACTGGACTCTTCCCGCCAATGCCGGTTCCCGCCCCCTCCCGCCGCAGACTGCGCATGTGCGGCGGCCATTCCTGTGCGCCATGGCAGAGACTGAAGCTAACCTGTTGCGCCACTTCCCGCTGCTGCTTCCTCAGAACCGGGAGAAAACCGTGTATGAGGGATTCATTTCGGCTCAGGTACCCTGCGGGGTCATTCTCTCGCGCCAGAGCCTGTCACTCGCGGCGCAGCCTTAGCCGGCCGCCGTGGCTGACTCCGGGCGAGCCTGGCCGAGCCTCGCGCCGAGGCACTGCGCTTGCGCGGCCGCTGTGGGCGGTGCCGGCGCCTGCGGGAGGGCGGGGCGGCTCGCAGGTGGCTGGCCTGAGGTTGACAGTGGGGTGCAGCTTTGCAGATCCTAACAGCAGGAGGGTCAGTTTCCTGGCGGAGCCCCTCCCCGGGTTCTGTTACTGCACTCACACGGCTTTGAAATTCACAGAGCACTCTGGATTCAAATTAAAAACAATCCAAACCCCACCATTTTATAGTTGAAATCAAATCCTGGGAAATTTAGAGAGGCTAAGTACCTTGGCGGTGATAGCATTAGATACTTCCGAAGCTCTGGCTGTTTAAAAAAAAAAAAATCTCATTTCCCGCCTCTCCATGGTATAACAAATTACGTTAGTTTAGAATTTCGAGTTTGGACTTTTCCTCTAAATATTAAACTCGAGTGTGTAAGTTTCCATCAGTGACAGGAGTCATTAATTACCATGTGTGTTGCGGTTTCCTTAATGCACAGTCTCTAGCATACTGAGCACATTATCAAGTCTGCTTCAGAGTGAGACTTTTCCTCATCCCTAAGCATTATTGGGAGTTAAGAAAACGTTGTGTGATGAGGGAACACACAGGAAGCTTGGGCTTCATTATGTGTTTTCAAAACCATGTGAACACCTCAAAAAAGAGAGGTTATATTTTATTAACGTAGAAGGAAAATGTATTTTATCTACCTCTTCTTGCTTAATTGTTGAAATATCCAATTAAAATATTTTTCACTTTCATGGAGACAGACATTCAGAAAAGTTCAAGTTTTCTTATGTGTGAGGTGTTGGAGGTTGAACCATTCACATACCAGGCAAGGTCTGGATAGGACAGACAGAGCAAGTGTTTTACATCACTTGTGTGTTTCTGCAGTAGCACTCTAAGAAACAATTACAGCCATCAGATTCGCCTGGGAGCAAATCAGCCTTTGCTGGAGGTTATTTCTAATTTTTGTATTTCTTTAAGTCTTGAATACTATCTAAAAACTGTCCAGCACAACTAGTTTTATCCAGAGTGTGATTGTGGTTGGTCCTGTACACACATTTCCCTTGCCTTTTGAGATTAAATCATAGACATAGTTCTTGCTTCTTCATCTCTAAATAATTTAGCATTTATTTCATAAAAAAACAAGGGTCCACTCAAGCCTAACCAGTACAGTTACTAAAACTGCTCTCTGGTATAATTTTCACAGGTGTATTTAATGATCTTATCTCTTATTTTGGAGAAGTTTTTAGTCTGTTTTTATTAACTTGAATTTTTATTTTTAAGCCTTCAGTTTATTAGGTTTGATATTTTCTCACCATTAAATTCTGGTAATGCATTGGGGCAGGAGCACTCAGAAGAGTGCTGTGTTCCCCTCGAGACATACAAAGTCACCTGCTCCCAGGGTTGATGTTGATAACATCAATCTCCAGATTAGAGTAACTTCTGCCAGATTTTCTTTTGGAATTAACAGGTACTTCTTGGTGAGTTCTTTGGGCCATTACACATACCACAGTGTTCCAGTCCTTGACTCCAGGCTCCAGTCGGTTAGCAATAGTGGTTGATGCCCGGTGATTATTTCCCAGCACTCTCCTGCCACCTCTCCACCACCCGTGCCTTCTGCTATAAGGAATAGCTGTCGGATCTTAGTTCTTTTTGACTGACTGTGGGATTGTGACTGTCACCTCCTCTATTTTGTTTGCACTGTCCCAAAGGAGCCAGGACAGCACATTTTCTGTTTATAGGTTTCTGAGGTGTTGCATTTGGCACTGCGTTTTCCTCATCTTGCTGTTTTCAAAGTATTGCCTAGATGCTTACATATAGTGTTTTATCACTATTTTCTGGAGCTTATATAATTTCTACTTGTAGTTCTTCATTCAGGTTTAGTTAAGTAGAAACATTTCTAAATTTTCTACTTTCAGTCATTGTTACAACTTTTAGTTTTGCTGTACCACAATTAGCATTATGTATAAAATATTTACCTGTAGAACTTATGGATGAATACATTTTTTGTGGCTTAGCAATCAATTTATATGTGAATGAATTATTTGTGACTAGATGAAAGGTGTTTTCTCTATTATTAGGCTCTGAGTGAGCTTTGGTAGTTTGCATTAGTCAAGGAATTAATTTCATCCAGGTTTCTGAATTTATGGGCTTAAATTATTTATAATACTTCCTTTTCTTTTCTTCTCTTCTCTTCTCTTCTCTTCTCTTCTCTTCTCTTCTCTTCGCTTCGCTTCGCTTCTCTTCTCCCCTCCCCTCCCCTCCCCTCCCCTCCCCTCCCCTCCCCTCCCCTCCCCTCCCCTCCTCTTCTCTTCTCTCTCTCTGTGCTTGTGTGTAGGAGGTCAGAGGTTTACACTGGATGTTTGCTTCAATAGCTCTTCACATTGCTTATTACGGTAGGGTCTCTTGCTGAACATGGACTTGCCAATTCCCGGTAGTGTCATTAACCATCATGTCCCTGAGGCCCTTTGGTCTTCCTGGGGAGAACTGAGATTGTAGGCAGCTTCTCTCTGGGTTCTCCTGACTCCACCTTCAGTCCTCAGACTCCTAGTGCCTGTCACTCTTTCAGTCCATACCCTCAGGGCTGTGCTGCTGACCTCGTACTGGTTAGCTCTTACTGCTTCATGTTTCCAAACACAATGACTAATTATCCATTTCTGCAGATCAGGGATTTGGAGGCACTTTGGTGGGTGAGTCCTGAGCTGGGAGGATCTCCTATGAACTTCCAATAAAGATAAGCCAGACTTTGACTGTCTCAAAGTTAGATAGTGGCAGAGAAGCTGCTTGCAAGATTATTATTCACACAGCTATTGGCCAGAGGTCTCAGTTCTTGATCTCATAATGTGTGTGAGTGCCACCATAAGATAGCGGCTAGTTCTCCCTCAATTCTAGAATCCATGCTGTTTTTGGATTTGTGTCTCTTGGTTTTTCTCCCCATTATGGGCCTTATTTTTCTTCTTCGACTGTCTAATGTGCTTTGTTAGTGTGCCTACCATGAATGTTTTTTGTTGTAAGCGGTAGTTATTACTTGAGGAGAGTCCAACTGTTTTAAGGTTTCCTTTTATTTTTGTTAAACATGAGCAGAGATTAATTTGGCTGTACCAGTGAAGCAATACTTTTCTGGGTACTGTATGTAATGGCTCTTATATTACAAGGATTTCTACTTTGGCTGGTTGGATTATACCAGGATTGAACAAGCTGGAAGATTCCTTTGTAGACTAGGCTGGGGAGTTAGTTCTGTGGTAGAACCTGTGTAGTGTGTGTGAATCCATGGGTTCAACCCTCAGCTTCCTCCTTCCAAAACAAGACTGGTTTGCATGCTCTATGTCTCCTAGCTTTCAGTACTTTCCTTAAAACCTCATTTTTAATTTTTTCCTTCAAAATTACATTTTTTTGTGTGTATGTGCATTTGTGTGTGTACATGGATGTGTGTGTATGTACATATGTGTCTATGTGCATGTGTGTGTGTATGTGCATGTATGCAGGTACATGCATGCTACAGTGTGTAATCTGAAGGTCAGCGGATAAGAGGGAGATGGTTCACTCTTTCCGCATATGAGTCATGGGAAGAGACTCACTCCGGCTTCATGGTATATTCCCTTACCCACTGAGTCATCTGTCTGGCCCCTTCTCCTTATTTTGAAATTCTGATATTGTTTTCAGACTGTATTATTATGACTCATTTTTTTCTCATGTATCTGTGCCCATTTTAGTGTGGTGACTTTCAGAAAGTGGAGTTAGGCTGTGATTGTAAATATCCTCTCAGTGTCTCCTGTGGCGTGTGTATTGGACTTTCTCTGGTGCTTTCTGCTCCATCCTTATTTTTTCATGGTCATATGGCATTTTTCTTGCTTTTACTCCACTGTTAAGAAATTTTGTTTTACTCTGTTCTTCCTTTGGCATGTTTAAACTTATTCTCTCATCTGAACGTTGTTGTGATTTGTTTAATTTCCTCTCTGAGTTTAGTCAATGAGTCCATCGCTTCTTTCAGTTTCTGGTCTTGGCTTTTAGACATCTTGTTCTTAAAATGTTCATTTCCTGATACTCTAGTCCTTCTTCTAATTAGTGTGTTCCTGGGTTCTGTTCTCCTGGGGTCCAAATCACCCGAGACACTTTGCTTCTCACTCTCTGTGTATCACAACACCTTTGGATTGGAGACACAGATCCTTGAGTTTGTGAGTGCTTTGGTGTTTGCAATAGTTTGTGAAATTTCTGATTCAAGAACGCCCTCTTTTGTTGGTGAAGGAAAGTGCAGTTTACTTGATGAATTATTTTTTGGGGGAAGGCTGATAAGTGGTGGGCTCTTAGTCTTGTCCTAAAAACTTAAGTTTCTCACTGTTATTTTTTCTTTCTGATGTGCAGTTTCCAAAGGGTGTTTCTACCCAATCTTTTTCCTGCTCTGAAATGTTTTCAGACATCCCCTTGACTCTTTCTTTTTTCCTTTTTTAAAATAGTACCTCACTGTGTGGCCCAGGCAAGCCTCAAACTCATGGTCCTCCTCTGTCACCTTTCTAAGTACTGAGAGCACAGCACATGGCTACCCTTGCCATCTCTCCTGGAGTATTTGGTTCATATTAGGTCTCTTATTTATTGTTGCTCTGTTCTCCCAGAATTCTTGGTAATTACTTCTGCATTTAACACCAACCCCATCATTCTTTCTTCTGTGTTTTTTTTTATTTGATAATACTCCAAATGCTCATTGCTGTTGGAACCCCAGAAGGATCTCTACTCAAAAGTGATTCTCCTCCTTCCTACAAGTAATTACAAAGTTATTGTGTTCTCTGACTTCTGGTTGCAAACATGGGAATTTTGAGTTTTTTTTTCTTTTTCTTTCTTTCTTTTCTTTTCTTTTTTTTTTTTTTTGCTTAGATTATTAATCACTGTAGTTTTTTGGTAGGACATGTCAGGACATTCAGGTTTACACAGCTCTGTACTTTTGTTGTCTGAAAGCTTGAAAAATCTGCCTTTTGAGAAAGAATAATACTATTTAGTTGCTTTAAGTATAGAAAATCTAG